TTCGGCGACGATATCCTCATCGCGGAAGCCCGGCACAGTCGGTTCAGACCCTCTGTCGTGGTGGCCATCTTCATGGGATGGAAGGTCTCCGTCTTCGCGTTCGAGGTCGGTGGCCACTCCGATTGGGTTAGGTGATAACTGCCGCTCGTGGTGCGAGTTGAGGGTCACCGATCCGGCCTCTGGCGACTCCTATTGGTAGGGGAATGATGCCGATCGGGTGGAATTTCGCTTTCGCGACTCCAACAACCGGATGTAGGAGACTCACATGCCGGCAGAGTGCCAGAATGGAGTGCCCTGATCAGGTGCATCAGTTGGGTTCGCATCCGCGGACCCGCAACTCCCTGGCGACGGCGACTTGAGCTAGCTACAGGGCCCTAAGCTAGTGGTGGTCTCCGCGATGTACGTTGGTCAGAATTCCCTACCACTGGGCCAAGCTTGGTGTCACGGTGGGTCCGCAAAAGCTTGGGCAGTGTCGAGCCAACAAAGGCCAGCGATCGCTGCATCGGCCAAGGCTGCGGTCCTGAGAGCGCTGACCTCACCCATTCGAGCTGCGCCGGTGGAGCCCTCGATCGAGGCTGTTACTAACCAGGTGCTCCGCGTTCGTACAGGCCGGAGCAGATGACGGGTTCACCGGACCAGTCGCTGTGATCGACGGCACTACTGTACAAGATATCATGTTCAGGCTGGGCTTCCCGTCCATCTGTTGGGGATTCTTTGTTGGGTCGCTCGACAACAGGGGTCTTAGCCTTAGTTTCCCACGGATATCCACGGATCAGATCGCGCACGTGCGAAGGGCTCAAATCGATCGCATGAGCAGCGCAACCGGGAGATCCGCTCGGGTGCCAGCTCCAGGACACTGCTCACTCAATTCACTCACTTGATCCAGTAACCGGCCGGCCGTCATGCACCCTGCTGAACAGCAAAACGGCCTTCTTCCCATCCAGGATCTCATCCAGCATGTAGTTCGCGAGCAGTGTCGCCTTCTCGATGTGATCAGCAGGCCTTACGTCTCGAAGGGCTTGGGTACTTCAGGTGCAGCCCGGCCGTGATCACGGCCACCTTCACATAATCCAGATCCGTACAGGGCCAGATCCTCGACCGCACCAGCTGTCCTGACCCCAGCCGCCCTGGCGATCGCCTTGGGCCTCACTGCCAGACCTCCAGGCGTCGATGGCCATCCTCTTCGATCGTCTGCGGGAGCGGAAAGTCCGACTGAGAAAGGACCAAGCGTCGAGGACCGCCGACAGGAGGGAACGACATGATCAGGCCCGCAGATTCAAAGCTTCAATGATCAACAATTTTTGGGAGCCAAAACGGCCACGGCGATCGCACATCAGAGCTGCTCTATCGAACGAAGAGACTGATCCCTCCAACCAACCAGGTAACCGCCGCTTAAGGAACATTCATGCATCGGAAAGCGCCGCCGAAGGCCCTGCAAGAAAGAGCTCGCGCGCACTGCGTTGGGTTTGGGATCCTGTGGCACCACCGATGAAGAAGTTGGATGTGGCCGCGGAAACCTGAGCATTTGCAGCGAGCTCCCAGCATGGCAGCATCAAAACGAGAACGTAAACACGCGGTTTACCGTCCAAGTCTTTAGCGTAACCGGATTCGATCAACCGCCATTGCCATGCCATGGCCTATTGAGGAAAAGCGCTGACGCAATGTCATCTAATGCCATCGCCTCATGTACGGCAAGTTGGCAGCCCAATGCGGATTGTATCTGGCAGAAATATTGACCCCATGCGACAGGAAACACCAGGTACACTAGGCATTTCTTGCAATAAAACTAGACTCTCTTCTGTTGAAGGGCATTGCCTGGGTGCCAAGCCTTACCGAGGCTTTGGCCATCATGGCCATTGGAATCTTCATTGCACGGGTCAGGGCGCGAAGTGCACCCTCGGCCTCAGGACTTCGGCCCGTGGCCCATTGCTGAAATTGGGTCGCACAAGAATTCAGTTTTCGAGCACAAGATTACACGGATCCGAGCTGACGTGGCTATGTCATGACTGTTCTCAGCATCTGCAGTTCCACCCATTAACGGTAGCAGGATTCATCCTCGTCGTGGGCGAGTGAGGCAGTGCTGCATGTTTGTGAAGAAACATCCGCATCATTTTTCAAGTGTAGGCCTTGCTGCCAGAAAACCTGGCGGCGTAGAACCCAAGCTGTGAAAGCGTTACAGCAAATGCGACGCGTCTGTGGATGATCTGAGCTCCGGCATTAAGCTGAGCCGGGACTGAGCGCAGCACGACAAACACGTCCGGCAAGAAACCTGCGCTGCTTGAGAAGCAGACCCATCGAACTGAAGCCTACTGTAAAGAGCCAAAGATTTTGGCTGGGACACCAGCAAGAGTTGCAATCCGAGGTGGAGCTTTACCGATTCAACTCGCAGGCATTTCTGGTCAAGCATGAGAATGTCACCTGCAAGCAGACACCACACATGCCAGCGCCTTCGTAGGCCGCCTCGAAAGGGCTCTGAGCAGAGTGCATGGAAGTTTATTGTAGCATCCTCTCGAACCCTCAGGGGGAAACCTCCCTAGCCCAGAGCCTTGACATAATGCGGTAATCCATGCCGCTGTGCGTGATTTCACACTGATCGGACGTGTAGCTTGCAGCAGTGTAGGCAACATAAGCACTGCAGCTTCTTTTGTAAAGCGTCGTAGTGCATGACTATACCCTTTCGGACAGTGCCTCGCCACTGGCAGCTCTTCGAGCCGTGCTCAAGGTGTTCGCGGGTGGCATGTCAAACTTCCTGCCGACGCCGGAAATCAGGTTGTGAGGGCTATCAAGAACCATCTGACAGGGTCTTGCGTCGAACCCGGCCCAAAAAACTCGTGATGGAGCATTATTATCGTTCGGTCGTGCTCGGCTACTCACGTAATCAGACAGTTTAGTGAAAGTTTCAATTCGCGCATGGCTTGAAGTCTTGAAGTGTTTGAATTGCAGGCTTTCGGGATGCGAGCTCTGACTGATGATGAGACCAGGCGCGACCCAGACCATGCTAGTTGGCTACTACGTGAATTAAGGGGTTCTGACGGCGTTGCGGGGCACATGCAACAATGGAAGAAGCCTTCCACGGCCAGTCCGACACAACGATTTACCCGCCCAGCCGGACGGAATCCGACTCACACATGCTATCAGCTATCGTTTGAAGATGACAGACATTGACAGACCATGGCAGTCCTTTTCAGTGTCCATGTAAGTGGCTCTGTTGGAGAATGCTTCCTTTGTCAGACAAACAATGGTTTTGGGACGGTGTGACGAAGAGGTTGTCTTTGGTTGGTCTTGTGGCATTACTTTTTCGGTCTGGTTTTGCTTGAGATGTACTGAGGCTTGTGTTCGAGAAGCTGAAGAAGTGCCATGCTGGAGTTCTTGAACTCGACTTGCGGTCACATTGCTGGTGGTTTTTCGCAGTGTCATGAGGTTTCCAACAGATGCCGCCACAGACAAGATTCATACAGTTGTGCCTACAGCACTCCGACACCTTGAGGACATTTGAGGACCTGAAGATTTGCTGAACTGAGTCTCAACATGTGGCACAAGGGAACACCATAATAGATGTGGGCATTCAGAGACAACAGCACTGTTGGGGCAGCGTGATGCAAACAGTTTCAGGTTTCCAGCGACCCATCGATGACGGTTGCACAATGTGTCTTGCAACATCGCCCAGGCAACAAGTCAAAGTGGATTCTTCAAGACACGGATTCAAGAGCAATATGCGTACATGCATGCATACAACTATGCATACATACATACCTGTCTACATACTTACACATCACGAATGCTATCTCTGTGGAGCTCGCGGAAGTTGCCGTTTACATCCCTTTACCGATTCACCTATTAGAAGGGAACCCGGTCAAAATTCCGTTTAGGTGCTTGGTCGTTTAACAATACTTAACAGCCGGGGGGAGCGAGGGGGCCCTGTGCCGTCAAAGGCTTCAGAGGCAGACCCCCCCTGACCAAGCTGTAACATTGTGCAATCATCTGTCTAAGCAACATGGCAATTGCAGGAATTGCGGCATTGCGATTGCGTCGGTACAAGTAGTCCGTCGGACCAGGATGCTATCAAGAACCATGGCAAGCGCTAAGCGCATTTTGCTGTCTACGTCAGGCGGCCAAGTTTCTGGACTTGGTCCCTTCCTAGCATGGTTAGGCTGCTTTAGAGCAGTGCATATGTGTTGTCTCAACCCTGCAAGATCGCCACTAGGTTCGACCAGCTTTCTGCTTCACTTGCAAGCGAAATTCAAAACAATGCCTCGACTACTTCTAAGCACATCACTGACAAGATGTCCTTGACCTACTCTGGGGCAGAAAGCTGGTTGGCACGTGCCGGCCCGAAGATGCCAACACACCCAGGAAAGTTTTGCCTGGACATAATTATGCCAAGGCTCCGCCAGACTCCACTCGAGTGATGCGCAGTGCTGTGTGGCAATAGATTCGCTTGACACTCTTTCCCTGCTGCGCCTCCTTCCTCGAGCTTTCGCGGCCCTATCTGTGTGTACATATACGAAAAATACTCATGCTGTCATACTAATAATGATCATGGTACCAATAATCAGTTACAACTACTACTAGTAATAATAATAGTAATAATAATAATGATAATTCAATGTGTGTATATGTATATATTCTCACCTACGCATGCATTTGCAACAAGCTAGACCTGACTCTGGAAGCCTTTGTTTGCGTAGGCTGTTTCACCACTAATTAGGTTGGTGCCGGGTTTCTCTTCCGATGTGGAAACGAAATGGAGGTGTTGCTGAAGGATTTGAATCAGGTGTGGATAAGGGGCCTGTAAGACTGAGTCTAGTCGCCGGCCTGCGTGCCACTGCGCCACATTCGTCTTAAGACAAACACAGAACTCACAGAGGGACTGAAAGCCACCAGGAGGTTGCAATGCAGAACATGACGGAGAAACTGGAGTTGGGTTTGTGTTTGGAGCTCTGTCCGGCCGCCACTTGCCACCACAAAAAGCCAGGTACATTGGCCAGAATCTTCGCCAGATGGTTGACAGACCCGATGGCATATTCCTCTTCAGACTTCACAAGGCTGTGTGATCTAATTAATGTGCGTTTCGGCATAGGTTGATGTTGTGGAAAACGAGTCCGACAGGAGCGTGTTTTCTACATGAGCGAACGGGTATTGAAGCACTCCGGGCACATTCCGAAGAAGGAGAGACATTGGAGTTTGAGTCCACCTTGTCCCTTCGTGACCCCTCAACGTCCCAGGCCTGAATGGCAATTAGCTAAACCCTGGTCCTGGACCATGGTGTGTGACCCTATGAGCTGCTCGCTGGACCACAATCCCCAAACCTCTCGGGAGAGGAGCTTCTGAGTGCTGGCGTGTGCATTGGCAAGGCCTGCGTCCTACTGGAACAGATTCGCAGTTCTATCATCCTTCCAGCTCCTTCCAGCTGCTTCCAGCTTGTCAGTTCACCCACAGCCGGAAATTCCGCCTCCTCATCACAGCATTGGACTATCTCGTCTGGTGCTCACTGCAAAAAATCTCGGGCAGCATGCCTTGCGGCTGGCGGAAGCATGCCCTTGCTGCCTTGCTCCGAGGCAAGACTGGCACAGTACCGTGTTTGGCTGAAGCCTTCGGGTGAACAACATTTCGTCTATGGCAACCATGTCGTGAAGGCCAGCGCTAAGCACTGAGCTTGTTGCCATGGCTGTTGAAAGATACCATGCACCAAGCAAAGCGAAGCCTCAACGACTCGTTGCTGGCTCGAGCGTTGTGCAAGTGCGTCTGCTTCGTCCACCATGGCGGAGACCGGCGCTCCTGTGCCGGCTGGAGTAAGCGAGCTACTCAGAGTTTGCTCCTGTGGAATGATTGGGGCTTCTCGGGCTACCACATGCTACCTAGACGAGACGCGGTAGCTTGACGATGCCCGAGAGGTGGAAGTATCCTCGTCTTCCGCGGATGGGGAGCAGACAAGCCGGGCATCTGCCAGGAGCTGCCAGGGCAGACACTGAACATGGCAGAAGCAAGGCACACAGGGCAGCAGGCTAGAAGCTTGTCCAAGCCAGGCCTTTTTGGGAATTGTCGTGGAGCACCAGAGCGAGGCCAGCTGGCACAGTGCACCCCCGGCCAAAGCCCAGACTCCCGCAGGTCCTCGACATGGCCCAGTTCCTTCTCGGGGGTGGCCTCATGTTCACGTTTGTGCTGAAGGTTGGGAGCTTTAAGGAGCCGAGATGAAGTAAGGTGAGTTGCCGAATGACGCATGTGCTTGGCAGGTAGCCGATCAGAGCTCCATCGGCTTGATGAAGTCTCTCACTTCCTGTGCCAAGGACCTGTGTATCACAACTGTCAGGGCCAGCAACTATGTGAGAGAGCTGTCACATCCGGGGCGACATGTTTGTCCCTACTTGCAGCCTCTCAGGAGCAGGGCCTTCAGCTCAACTTTCATTTCCCGGACGCGGGGCAGGTGCTGCGACTGGAAACCGCTGCGGCTTTGGGGATTTCTCACACCACTACACAGCTGCAACTGGCTTAGGTGCACTGCCTGGCATCCCTAGAAATTCTCGACACCTGTCAATTCCAAAGGAGCATCTAGTCACAAGGGGAATGTGAGACACCACGTTGCTCCACATCTTCGGTGGTATCCTGGCATTTCTCTGAAGTTTTCTCAAAATTTCGGCACTTGGCAACGCGGACATCGAAAAGCCCTGTTAAAGGAAGTGCAGATTTTAAGCTGCTGATTATTGAGCTGACGCTGTGTTGCTCATTTTTGGAAATGTTGTTTTGGCTTGCCGCCATAGGTTCGCACAGGCGTCTGTGCACATTGGTCTGGCTTTGCTGAAGCGCCTTTAGATGCACAGCATGCCCATCCCTGCTCTGGGATGATCCATGGGCCTGTGGCAGTTGGATGCAGTTGAAAGATATCGCAGGGTGGCATCTAGCTGGAATCTAGCTGATTTTGTAATGGTACTTGAATCACTTACTTGTATAAATATTGAAGGCTTGCAGCAGGTAGAAATATGCTTGTTTCCGCTAAGACGTTGGACCGGCGGCATACATGCAAAGCAAAAGCTTGACGTAAATCCACTCGGTGCAGAAATTGGCTCAGAAATATTCGCATCAATCGACACATTGAATTGGATCTGTCTTGCCGAAAGCCCTGATTTGGCCGGGGCGTTGGTTCGTGCAAGGATGAAGGTTGGCTTTGCGTAGGTCCGGCTGGGACGGTCTCGCAGTTGGGTTTTTGGGCAGATACATGCAAAGCACATGCATCCTTGAAGCCTTAGTTCTTCAATTTCGAAAGTACTTCAGAGCACTGTCTATGTAGCCTTAAACAACACAGGAATCAATAGTGGATTCCATGCAAACAGACCGTCAGTGCTTACACTCATCCATATTAGGTATAGAAAAACTGCCCGAATGAAATCTTCTTAGCGAGATGAATCACAATTTATCAAAAGGTCGATATTTTCATGCCGTCAAACTACAGACCTACATCATGTATTATTGCTGGGTTCAATTTATAAGATCTTCCTGTGCTTGATACGCCATCGGTTGCAAAGCCTTATGGAACCAAAGTTGCTGAAAACGCAGTATTCATTTCGCCCAGCGCTGGGCACGTCACATTGGATATCTGATGATATTCGTCACCACACGCACGCAAGACATTGCAGAAAGACGAGTTTGCAATCTTATTGTTAGTATGCTAGATTGGGAAAAGGCCTTCGACAGAATACAACATGACAATGGCGAAACCCTTAATCGGTTGGGCATTCATCCTCGCACTTTATTGATATCATAATGAACTGTTACAGTAATCCCCGCGGGAAGAGGATGAGTATGGGAAATCCACTATAAAACAGCAATAACGGTCAAGCACTGGCAAAATGCCCTTTGTCTCCTTGCTTATTCGTACTATTTAAGTCAAGTTATGTCTGTCATAGACTACGACATCAGCTGCAACATTAGTCAGCGACTGTGAATTCAAGGTTTTCAGGAGTTGATTTCGATAGAATGTATTATGCGGATGGTGCAAGCTCCCAATTAGAAACAATGCCGGCACAATGCGGGTTCCGTCTGAATAGGGACAACTGCTGTTGCGCTGCTATGAACGGTCACAATGTCGTCAAGTTTGCCGATGGTACCAGGCTGCAAAGAGCAAACGAAGCCATATATTTGAGACATCAAATCACACAAGCCATGTAGATATAAGACATGAAATCAATATAACATGCACGGTACATTAAAAGTTTGGAGTTTCTAAATGGCTGTGCAGTGCCCAGCACACTGGAAATTGCACTTGCACTGTCTGATACCATCATCAGAAACAAACTTCTATACGGCCCGGCCTCGAAACTGTTCATCTACTGCAATCAATGCAGAAGAAAGTAAAAGCCTTTCAATTGAGAATTAGCTTAAAACAATCCGAGCCCCAGATAGTACTTATGTGAACCGAGCTAGAAACAGGTGGGAAAGCAAAGTTTCCTGGCCTAGAAAAAGGAATTGATCGACGCCGGGCCTGCGCAGTAGTCATTACAGACAAGACTAGAAGGATGCCGGCGGTGGTTAAGTAGTGTCTGCAACGGCACCGTGGACGTATTCGATGCAGTGCTTCCGCCGTGTTTCAGGAGGGGTTGAGGCTCTTGAACCATCTTGAACTGGTCCAAGAGGATGGAAGGCAGATGCTTTTAGATTTCGGGCTCCCGGGTTTCTTGGCTGCTTTCTTGGCTTGTGTCTGTCTGAACAGTACAACCCGAAGTTGTGGAACCGTGCGTCACAGGGACAATAGCTAGTAAGAATGACAACTCAATTTATCCAGCGAATATTTGAAGCTTGTTGATTCCCCGTTTTAGTACAATTCATTTTCGTTTAGACGTTGTCTGTTTTCTGTAAGATTAGGACAATTTGATGGTCAATGGGCGACACCGGGAAGATACCACAACGTTCGAACAACTCACATCAACTATTCACCTGCTGAGTAGGCGTACTCATGCATGACGACAGATAGAGCAGCTCACATTTCTACAGAAGCGTACAAAGTCGTACATCACATTGACATAGTTATGCGAGGCCGTGGTCAATCATTGTCACTTATAGCATCTGCGGAAATGCAGCAAATGTGTTTTTAAATTATGTTGCGATGGGATAAGATTGGCAACGAAAGAGAATCGCAGACGCAGAGTGATGTGGCTACATATTGATAGGTCAAAACGACCTCCCCAGAGCGCATAAAGCTTAAGTGTGACAGGTTGTGCTTGTCACTTGACCTTCCCCACTACACCACATACACGTGTAGAGCTACAGTTAAAAGGTGATGAAGGAGCAATGCGCGCAATGAAGGGAGGCCGTGCCGAGCGAAGGTGGATGCGCTGGAAAAAACTTCTGACACTGACGGGCCAGGCATGGATAGTTGAACAGCCCGACAGCAAATCAACATCAGAATGACGTGCTATTTGTGGGGTTGAAGCCATCGATGAGGTTCTGTGATTGGTGGGTTTGCCGAAATCGGCAGTAGCATGCAGCAGCTCATGCGACAGGATCGCTGCACGGATAAACGATTTCTTGGGCTGTACCGGAGCTGCATAAGACTGCCGTCATCGGGGCAGGTATAGCCAGTTGGAGTAGAAAATATATTGGTTCACACACCTTGGTGCAGCAAGTTCAGTTTGACTGTGCAGCGACAGTGTGGCATTGGTGAGTTTTCACATTCTTCACCAACTACAGCATTTTCACTTCATGTTGTACGGGCTGGGATGCCGGTGTGAGCCAAACCGGCCGATTGAAGCCAGTAAGGCCATTTGGATGCTTACACCCCAGACTGTTGGTTCCCCGCAATCTCGAATAAGAGGTCGTGCCTGAGAAGTAAGAATACTCTAATAAAAAATGAGCCTGTTCATTTCCTGTGCATTATTAAGTCCGTCAACTGCCGAGACGTGCTTTCGAAAGGTGCCAGAGGCCGAAGGTGGCAACGAGGCGGTGATTTCAGTTGTTTCCTCGTCGTCCATCACTCCAGCGCGCCTTGGCACAGTTCAGCGACTCAAGCTGGTGCTATGACAGTCACAATGCCTCGGCAGGTTGATGTTTGACATCGACAAGGCCCTGGCTTGAGCCAGCTTTCGCTTCGCAGCTTCGTTCTCGTTGCAGACTGACTTAGCCGCACCTTGCAGTCCTTGGAGGTTTTCTGGGGTCACGGCTGTGTGGTGCTCGAAATCGAGCACCGAAGCGACAACATGAAGGAAGGTGCTTTTAGTTTTCCTTTCTCTACCTGGCATGCTTGAAGTCTTTGAATCGTTTCCAGCAAGTCGAGCGTGACAATGCTTCCGAATCTAGCAAGCCGATGCTTGAAAGCAACTCTGTGAAGTGGCCCTTCCAAGCACAAAAAGATGCTGCCTGCTCTCGCATCTTCCCCAGGCCAACGTAAGTGTCATCACCGGCGTCACGTGGATGTGAGAAGGGCGGCGGCTAAATCAGAGTTCACAAGAGGAGTTCTGCAGGGGACTTGAAAAGTATGCTCCACAAGCGCAAGCCCTCAGCAGGCGAAAGCCGAAAAGAGACGAAGGAACTGTCGGAGAGTGTTCCGGTCTGCGAACTGTATGTCCAACAGGTCTCAACAGGGTGGGAGAGGCTGGTAAGCCTGCAGGGAGGCCCGCCAGCTGGAAGATGCGAGACACGCAGCCAAAGTGGCACCATTTCGTGAAATCGTTCTGACAGCGTTGCTGCAGTGAATCGCCCTGAAGGCGAGTCTCAGAGGTCTTGCCGCTGCTGGGTCATAAGCAGGAAGCCTTAAACAGTTTCCTGAGTCTGGTTGCGGGCCAAGCGGGCCAGCTGCTCGGCCAGCTCATAGCGCCAGTAGGACCTCAGGGAGCCAACGTGGAGGTTCGACGCAGACTGACTGGACGGTACTGTACCTGTATACCTGTCCGCACCATATTATTCTCCACCTGTTGCTCAGCGGTGCGCAGGAGCACAACAGTGAATACAACAAGGTCCAGATCCGCATCCGGTGTCCGGCTGGGCTCAGGCGGGCAATCCCGGCGCCCGTCAACCCTTCGTGTGGGTTTTGTCATGTCTTGTCCTGGTGAGTGCGCGTGAGCAGCCGTCAAGTGAAGACGATTGATCCCCCGGACGGCCGTGGTTCACTCGCCCATCTCGCCCCCAAAACCAACCAACATCCTGGAACGAGGCTTGCGACTCTGATCATGGGACCTGCAGGAGGTGAGGTTGAAGGCCTGCAAAAGGCGGGCCTTTCAGTTCCGACATGCTGAATCATGTTGACCACACCGACTGCCGAAGCGGAATCACGTTCTTTTGAGGTGGCTTGGGAGCATGGCGGAGAAGTAACGGCGCGGTGGTGGGATGCGATGAACAGGCACTGCAACTGAGGTTTTCTTCTATCTTGACATGCAGTAAAGCCTTGCAGGTCGCATCAGCAAAAGCCCTCATTGACTCATACCATCTCGTGCCTAGCCAGAGGCCAAACGGGAAGTCGTTGGTGGTCTTCGGCCTTTCGAACGTTCTCTGTACCTCGGCACAAAAACTTCGCACAGTTCTATGCACCTCAACGCTGCACAGCGCACGACAGCTGAAGCAGATGCGTGATCATGCCCAACATGTCTGACATGTCACAGCTTGAAACGACTGTCGGCCGGTAGGCCCCGACGATGTGCTGGATCTCGTGCTTCGAGAGGCCTTCCGCAAGTTGACCCATCCTGGCCTTCCACCACATTCGGACGGACCGATGTGACGGCTACCAGCAGTGCAGGCTGGGGTGGACCCTGCGTCGGTGAAGACAGAGTCGGCCCAACCAGGTCCCGGAAGCAAGAGGAGCAGAGCATGGCATGAGCAAAGAGCGAAGTGTCAAGCATTGGCGCTACAAGCAAGCAGTGGTGGGTCCCCTGCAGGTGCTGTCGAATCCACCAAGCTAGCCATGCTCAAAGGCCTAGAATCGAGAGAAGCTACTCATGCTCGTAGCAAGCAAGAACAGTCGGAAGATGTCAGAAGCGCTAAGAGGATACATGCCCTCGCGGCACTGCTGACAGGCCAAAGTACCCAATTGGTGCGCAAGGTGATCGACCACTTGACATTCACTCCCGGTGCCAAGGCAAAACCCGCCGTTCATTATGCGGCTATGCACATGCATGAAGAGATTCCGTGAAGTCAGATTCTCCTTGAAAGGTGGTTTGCTCAGCCATGAAACGACTGGGCTGCCGACTTGCTATCCTGACTAACACTGGTGCCTCGCCAATATTCTGGAACGCGAAAGCATTTCCGGCAATGTTTGGCGAACTTCTGAACTGACAGATTGCGGCTTGCATTGCTGATGTTCGCAACGGATTGAGTACCTACGGAATATGTCAAGCCCCAATTGCCAAAGGGTGTGCAGAACCGGTTTCAAGAGTCACGGCTTGAAATTACGTCCAGGCATGCGTGAAATTGCGGAGCATGTCAAAAGCCAGCTTGGATTCGACTATGTGATCCTTGGCCTGTCGATCGTCCTGCCAAGTGCAGGCCAAGTGGAATGTGACGTTTGCAGATGCCGTCAGGATTTGCCGCGATGTGGAGACTGAGGACGGTTGCTTCACGGGCAGGTGAGGATGGGAATGGATGCAGGTTGCAATGCAGGTTCTACCCTGGGAGATTTCCAAGGCACTGTTGAAGCATACGGTAGCCACGGCAATTTCTTCCCCTCGTGGTCCCATTATGGAAGGCTCCGTCATGCCTCGTTTCAATATGTTTCAACAGTCGGAGTGGCAGATAGTCGCAGCACACATGGCTTCTGCAACTGCAGGTACCTGGGAGAGCTTTCAGACGTGAAATTCCGCAAAGCGGACCTGCTAAAGCTCATGGCAGAGAGGGAAGGCCACCTCAGCCATGCAAAGACCTGCATCGCAAGTTCATGTTTTGCCGTGCTCAACGTGAGAGGCGTGGACTGCCGGAATGTGATCACAGTTGGAGAGCCGCTAAAGGGGCTGAAGGCAGACCTCGATCAGAAAGTTTCACCATCGCTCTTAAAACAGATGTTGAGTTGTGCGTTTCGACTGCGCGCCACGAAGTGACAGGCTGCAAATGCACGGCTCATGCTGGAAAATTTCGGACCCAATGTCTTTTTCAACTCTACGAAGAGACGTGGCTTGCAACTGCTACTTTTGCTAGCAGTCGTGCTCCAGTTGGTCAGCTGACAATTGCGCATACCGTAGTGGATCGTATTTGCCGCTTCATTGCTGTTGACCAGCCAGGGCAGCCAGATGCTGAAGTAGAGTAGCTCTCATAGTAAGGGTCAGGAACTCCTTGCAAGCAGTGGCAGTGGAATTATCTGCAAGCATCGGGCCTGTGGAGGATTTACGATCATGGAGGTTCTCTATCTTGGTTATCTTGTCGTAAATTCATGCTCTATGAATTTGGTGGAAGGTGAGTGCAGCTGGTTTACACTAGAAGCAGTCATCATGCGAGGATGCCAGACCTCACCATTGTCCTCTACCTTCTGGGCTTCAGCGGCTCTGACGTGAGGGCATTGAGGAAGCCTGGCTGAACTACGCATTCATCCGTGTACAGAACCGCAGAAGCTTGTAGGACGTTTTTCTCAGGAAGCGACGTTGGGACGATGGCCCTGGGACCCAGGAGCTCTTGCCCAGCGCATAGTTGTGGCCTATTCAATGGCTGTCGCACATGCGCCGCAGAAGATTCCTTGCTACAAGTACTGTACTAGCACACACCCAGACTGGTATGAGGCAGTGGTGAGGATCTGCTTCTCGAATGATTCCGGCTGCAGCACCCTGAAAAGATAAATGGGCAGAGCTGTGCGTGCCGCTCTCCGACCCTCGCTGTCGAACCGGAAGCCGTCCACCTGCCATGCTTACTCTGGAAGATTCCAGGCAGACTGCGCCCAGCAACATCCAACAACATGGATCAACATGGCGTGGTATTGTGGTCGACGCACATGTATGGCATGTATGGGGACGAGCTCTGCTTGCCGCGGCGCATTTGGCCGAATATTGAAACCAGCATCACACTTCTTCGAACGAGTACATCGATAAATTTGTGTGTATATGAGCACCATCGTTGCAACGCGAAATGAGTACCACAGATCACTGTCCTCGATCTTCCATATCGACAGCCGGATGACTAGGGCTGACGAGAGCGCGCTCGACTGAGACCATGGGTACTCCGTTGGCGATAGCTTGGTGGACGCTGATACAAGCAGAGGGACACATGGAACAATCGGATGGGTGGCTTCTTGCAGTTTCGAAACGGAAAGTGCACAGACCACCTGAACCTCCGTAGCCACACGCGCTCAGCATGCGGGAGGCCCCGGGCTCAATCTCCGGACTGTCCGTTTACTGTGTTATTGTGCACGAAACCTACTACTTCCTTTGTCCTTGGCTTCCCTTCTTTTCTTTCCGCCTTGACTTGTTGTCTTTCTTCCTTGTTGCTATCGATCTGGCTCCCGCGATTTCAAGAGCGCACTGCTTCGCTGAACGAGCATGCTGCTCCTTTGATGTCTTGAGCCAATACGGGCTCGGCCTCTGTGAGGTGACACATCCAGACTTAGCACGGTCGGCCATCCCAGCCCTCGAGACGAGCACTCAAAGCCCAAACCTGGCAAGCCCCAAACCCTACGGTAGTTCGCTAAGTCCGTCGATCACCCTTTATCCTATGATATGTGTATGTATATAATGCATTTATGTATGTATTTACGTATGTATGTCCGCATGCATCTCTGTCTGTATGTATGCATGCATACATGCATGCGTGTTGTGTTGTGCTACGCTATGTTATGCTATGTTATGTTATGTTTATATGTCTGTATGTATAGGGCTCAGGAATACCAGCAGCGGATAGCTAGAGCCCCAGGCGTAGGAGTTGTCCCGCACCGATTTCGCAAAGATTGCTCGCAGCCCGGCTTGGCACCGAAGGTTACGACAAAACCTTGCCCGCACAAGAGCGTGGCGCATAGCCACATAGCCGACTTGCTAAGCTGGCCAGACATCACACTACTTGTCCAGTCCGGTCCGCTGCATTATTATGCATGGGCAGCAAAAGAGCATGGCAAAACGACCAGCAGCAGAAAGAGTGGGAGGGCTGGGGAGATGAGCAGCATGGAAGCTGGTCCATCTGGCCGGGTGCTTATCGATCACCCAAGCCGTCCCACAAGGACAAGCCTGCCGCAAAAGCCAAGGCGAACTCGTTCCCGGCCTACGACGTCAACCGAAAAGAGTCGATGGGTATGGTCGTGGTGCAGACGCGGAAGGCTTCGGGGGGACCAGGGCCCCCGTCGCTCACCCACGTCGTGCAGCTGGCCGTGATCAATGCCAGGAAGATGGATTGGAGGGTGAACGCCCTCCGTGCAATAATGGAGTGCGTACAAGGAGGAGATGCAACTGGCTTACCAGAAGGAACGAGCAAAATTCGCAGCAGATGTGTCAAAGCTGGAGGGCGAGATCACCGAGATCGAAAGTCAGCAGTTGGACGCTTGCAAGCAGATTCAACATGCAGCCGACATGGGGTGGCCGGAGAAGCCCGCCATCAGTCGCATCGCTGCGGAGGAATGGAGTGCCGTGTGCGAAAAATCCAAGCAGGAGAGACGCCGGTCAAGACATCGGTCGAACCAAAAATCCCTATCACCTGTACAGGAAATCCACATCGCTTCAAGCTACGGAGGTGAGAAACCTGGGGCCAATCGTCAAGAGCAGACAAGGCATCGCCATGTGAGCCTTCACCGACCCGCCGCTTCAAAACAAAATGAGCAGCATACCCCAGCTGCTCAACAGTGATAAGGCAGGCCAGTGGGCTCCCGCGGCACATGCCCGCCGACCTCGTCGAATGCCTCATGCATAAAGGTCACTCCATCCCAAAGATGCTGTTTGCTCCTTGCTCGTTGTCGGTAGAAGATTCTGGTGCCGGGCGGCCTGCATGTGCTCCGTGGAAGGGCTTCAGAGCGGTCCTCGCCGCATGCAGGGCGTCCCGCTTGTCCTTCAATTTCTCCGCCAATTGTTTTCGGCGAGGAAGGCGAAGCATTGACAACAGTCATTGCCTTTGGTGGTACCGGCGGCTTCACCGGTTGTCTTGTCCCGCCGTCTCGTACCCGAGACCGCTGCTGTGAAGCGGATCTGGTGGCCGAGCCCAGCCCCGAAAGTGGCGCAGCCTTCACAGGGCTTCCTTGCAACGGGGCAGACTCTGGCATGTAAGGCTCTTTGATGCGGACATCGCCCGGAGCCCCAAAGTCGCCGCCGGGGTCAACGGATGTCCTGCTCGCGTGCGTTGGGGAGGTGTTGTGGGGGCCTGGCTGGCTCCATGACTAAAGCCAACATTCCCCAAAGCAGCTGCCAGGCGGGCCAGATCCTGAGTAAATGTGCTTTCTTCTTCTTGTGCCTTTGACCTGGTGATGCTTGCCTCACCACTCCAAACACCAGTCCTTGGATTTCTCTGCCCCCTGGGCTTTTGGGATTCCGTCCTCAGGCCCCTTGGGCATCCACGACAACTCCCTGTGGGAGTGCTTGGATTTTCTTCCGTGCCAGCGGGACCCCGGCGCCAGTTAGGCTGCCCCGGTTCCTGTCAACCATGTTTGCGCCAACTTTAAAGGTTGCCACGGTTCGCTTAGGGCTGTGGATTTCTCCCTGGACCCCCTTCCCTAGTTTTTCGGGAGTCCGTCTCCCCATTCGCCTTTTCCCTCCCGGTTACGTGGCCTTCTCAATGTTTGTAGGGCTTCCATAAGGCTTGTAGCAAAAAGCGTGTACTATCAGCCTGATGAGGGGGGCCCGAAAAACCAAGAACAAACGAAGACCTATCAATCAAGAAATCCATCGGTGATTGCGAAAACGTTTTGGCCAGCAGTGGCCAAAAAGGTGAAAGTCATTAATATCGTTTGATTCGGATTACCCGTCACCGTTCCCTGCCAGGCATGGCCTCGACCATGGCACTACAGACTACAAGTATAAGTGACGAGTTGCCACCAAAGTGTTGAAATAATGTAACATGAGTCCACAAGAGCAAC